TCATAACTGAAAGGTTTCTTTGAGAAAATAAAACCAAGGAATTTGGCCAAGCATGGTGGTGGCTCACACCTGTAATCCCAGCACTTTGGGAGACTGAGGAGGTTGGATCATGAGGTCAGGAGTTTGAGACCAGCTCACCAATATGGTGAAACCCCATCTCTATGAAAAATACAAAAATTAGCTGGGCATGGTGGCACACACCTGCAATCTCAGCTACTCGGGAGGCTGAGGCAGGAGAATGGCTTGAACCCCAGAGGCGGAGGTTGCAGTGAACCAAGACTGCACCACTGCACTCCAGGCTGGGTGACAGAGCAAGACTCCATCTCAAAAACAACAACACAACAACAAAAACCCAAGGAACATTATAGACCTCCCAAAAAGGAAATTCTATATCTTAGAAAGTAAAATTTTAGGTGAAAATGATCTACTACACTACCCTTGTGGGAATTGCTGTACTTCACTGTTTGTGATAGAATTATACATGGTACAACCTTCCAACTGAAATATTAGACAGAGAGTTTCCACTGCTGTAGTATTTTGCTTAATTATTGTCCTTATAGCAGGAATAATAACTATTGACAAGAAGTAAACATGAAGGTTTTACTTTCACTGCAGTAGGACTTTTTTTTTTTTTTTGAGACGGAGTTTCACTCTTGTTACCCAGGCTGGAGTGCAATGGCGCGATCTCGGCTCACCGCAACCTCCGCCTCCTGGGTTCAGGCAGTTCTCCTGCCTCAGCCTCCTGAGTAGCTGGGATTACAGACACGCACCACCATGCCCAGCTAATGTTTTGTATTTTTAGTAGAGACGGGGTTTCACCATGTTGACCAGGATGGTCTCGATCTCTTGACCTTGTGATCCACCCACCTCGGCCTCCCAAAGTGCTGGGATTACAGGCTTGAGCCACCGTGCCCGGCCTGCAGTAGGACTTTTTATTGGGTTTGGTAATATGTCACACCCTAGCTATGCAAAGATGGTTATAAAGAAAATAGATTTTATATAAGAAAGGATCTTGTATGGTAAATTCTTATCCTAAAGAGAATTAGGACAAGTAAGAAAGCTTAAGCTTGTCATAAATGGTCTGTGAAAGTCATGAAAGAATTAATACTTGCAGGAAAGATTTAGCCAAGGTTAACACTGAAGTTACTCTAGCCACCCAAATCCAATGCCACTTATCCTAAAAAAAAAAAAAAAAAAAAATCTTACTTTTATACTGACATTAACATTTCAGGAGCATGTGGTGGAGGCGAACCAGTATTTACAACCCATTGGAATGGTGGACAGCAATCAATCTCCAAATGGTGCTGCAGACAGAATCATGCATGGACATGCCTTTCATCTGAGGACCCTTAGACTGACCCCAGGAGAAGCCCTAGATGCTGTTCCTCATAGGGCACCCCTTTTTGGCAGAAAATAGCCAGAAGGAGTTATCATCTAATACCCCCTAATAACAGGGTTACCACTCCTGAGGGGGAATGATATAGGAGTTAAAAAGAAATTATTTAGGCAGATAGTGAGGGTAAGGAAGTCCTCAGTAAGGTTTTACTTTTAATAAAAAGCAGCCCCAAATAATTTTCTTCTCTAACAAACAGCAGCCTGTAAACTTGAGCTGCAGACATAGACAAGTAAGCTGGAAGCTGGCACAGGTGAATGCCAACAGTTGTGCCAATAGGAAAAGGCTACCTGAGACTAGGTATGATTGAAATGGCAGCTCCATCTTCCCTTCTCTTTGCCAGCCACATGTACAGTATGGAGCAGACAAGATGGTTCTGGCCAAGTGGAAAGTCCATTTGCATATTAAGATTAGCATGGGGTGACAAGCCTTCTCCACACACTACGTAAATGTCACACACCTGGTCAAACCAATTCGTGAGCCCTGCATAAACAAGACGCCATCTCCTCAAGCCTGCCCATAAAATCTGCTGTGGTCTGCCATAGGCCAGCTTTTCCCTTTTGGATGCCCCTCTCTCTCACAAGTGAGAGAGCTGTTCTCCTCTCTCCTTTCTTCTGCCTATTAAACTTTCCACTACTTAACCCACCACGTGTGTCTATGTCTTTAATCTTCCTAGCATAAGATGACAAACCCTGGGTATTTACCCCAGATAACAATGCCACTTCACTAAGGGTGGACTGTAGTGGCTCTATAATCCCAGCATTTGGGAGGCCACATGGAAGGATTACATGAGCTCAGGAGTTTGCAACTAGCCTGGGCAACATAGCTAGACCTTGTTTTTACTAAAAATCACAAAAATTAGTTGGGTGTGGTGGTGGGCACTTATAGTCCCTGCTACTCAAGAGGCTAAGGTGGGAAAATTGCTTGAATCTGGGAGGTCAAGGCTGCAATGATCATGCACTTTAGCCTGGGTGACAGAATGAGACCCTGCCTCAAAAAGAAAATCCATTCAGTAAAATATTTAGCCATAGAAAAAGATAAAGTACTGATTCATACTACAATATGAATTTTGAAAACATTATGCTAAGTGAAAGAAGGCAGACACAAATGTCCACATATTGTATGGTTTCATTTATGTAAAATGTACAAGAAAGCCAAATTCAAAGACAGAAAGTACTTTGGTGGTTGCCAGGGGCTGGGGGAAGGGGGACAGGAAGAAAAGTAAGAAATGAATACTAATGGATATAGAGTTCTCTCTTGGGGGATAAAAATGTCCTGATATTAGACAGTGGTGATTGTTTCACAACTTGGTGAATATCCTAAAAACCACGGAATTGTACATTTTAAAAGAGTATGTAAATTTTATGTTGTATAAATTATGTTTCAATTTTGAAAAAGAACAAATTTAATTAAATATGTATAAGATCTATGTACTGAAAGATACAAAACATTGCTGAGATATATTGATGAAGACCCAAATAAATAGAAATACATACCATGTTCATGGATTTGAGGACTCAATATTGTTAAAATATAAATTCTCCCTAAATTTATCTGATGATTATATGTCATCCCAATAAAAATCCTGGCAAACATTTATATCAAAATTGGCAAGCCGATTCTAAAATGTATTTGCGAATGCAAAGAACCTAGAATACCCAAAACAACTTTTAAGGAAAAAACTCACAATGTTTGGGATGTTACACCTTATAATTTCAAGACTTACAATAAAGTTATGGCATGGAATTGTTCTAAGAATAAACACATGGATTAACAGAATAGAATACAGAGTTCAGAAGTAGGCCTTCATAATGTCTTTAATAAAGATGGCAACATTAATCAGTAAGGAAATAAATCTTTTTACCAAATATTTCTGGAATAACTGGATATATATTGAAAATGAATAAACCTCTCAATTTTACCTAAAAAATTATATAAGTATATACAAAATTTACCTACAGTAGATCATAAACCTAAATGTAGAAACTAAAACTATAAAATATTTAGAAGAAAGTATAAGAAACATATTTTATGACCTTAGAGCAGACAAAGATTTCTTAAATAGGCTTTTTGTATCCTATCACAAAATTATAAAAGAAAATACTGATGAATTCACCTCCATCAAAATTTTAAAACTTCTAGTCTTTATAAAACACTATTAAGAAAATGAAAGACGGCCGGGCGCAGTGGCTCAAGCCTATAATCCCAGCACTTTGGGACGCCAAGGCGGGTGGATCATGAGGTCAAGAGATCGAGACCATCCTGGTCAACATGGTGAAACCCCGTCTCTACCAAAAATACAAAAAATTAGCTGGGCATGGTGGTGCATGCCTGTAATCCCAGCTACTCAGGAGGCTGAGGCAGGAGAATTGCCTGAACCCAGGAGGCGGAGGTTGCAGTGAGCTGAGA